GACACTGGAGACAGATGGAGGCCAGAGCAAAGATCTCTGGTGGGTGCCAACTTGGGAATCGTGGGAGCCACAGCTGTGCCCTCCCTGGGAGCCCTTCCTGCTCACATTCTGCAGTGAGGGTTGAGTAGATGGATATGGATAGAGGGACCCAGGGGCGTCAACTCGAATGGAAATAGATGATCTCACCATGCAGAAGACCAGAAACAACCCAAATGTTCAAAAGTCCTCACATCAGCAATCTGGGTTAGGACTGAAATACCCGTTCTGACTAAGAGGGGACCATGCCTCAAGGAGTACAGTAACACGTAGATGGGACCTGAGGAGTGCTGGGCTCTTCCTTCAGCCCTAGACCAGCTTCCCGCCCTGGCAACACAGGCACTGCCATGTCCAAGGAGAAGGGGTGTCCAGCTGCCACACAGTGACTTCCCAGAGATGCCCCCCAGCACTGCTGGTTCTTGGAGAAAGTGCTATGTTCCAGGAGGTCTTTTCCTAAAGCAGCCATGTATCAAAGAGAACGCCAGTGACTTGGAACCAAGGATGCTGGGCACGTCCCATGCTCACAAGCGCCTCGAAGAGAAGGCTGCTGCCCTGGGCTCAGGGTTACCTTGGGGATCGACCTCCTTGGCCAGCTTGAGGGCGTCTGAATTAGCCAGGTCCATGTTCGCAGGCGTGACGGCCAGGATGAGGCTGCTCTCCCGGCTGATGAACTGCAGGATCATGTCCTTGATCTGGTACTCAATGTCTGGAGGCTGGTCTCCCACAGGTACCTTGGTGATACCCGGGAGGTCGATGAGGGTCAAGTTCAACACTGAGAGGGAAACCAGTGGGAAACGCAGTCAGAGTTAGGAGAGGGGAGACACACACAGGCCTGGAGCCACCCAGCTGAGTACCAACGTTCCTGGGTGGGGCTTAGACCTGAGGATGTCACCTGACATGTCACCTGAACCACACCTCTGATTTAGTAACTCCCCTTCTAGGATTCCATCCTACAGACACCTCTACCTACTCCATTTCAATGACACAGTTCTAAATGATCACAGTTCAGACTGGAATAGATCTAAATGACTAAGTAAATTTCAGCCTATCCATTCAGCTAATACCAAAGAAACATTACAGACAGATGAGGCTGGGCACGGTGGCTCTCATCTGTAATCCCAGCACTTTGGGAGGCCGAGGCAGGCAGATCACGAGGTCAAGGGATCAAGACCATCCTGGCCAACATGGTGAAACCCCATCTCTACTAAAAATACAAAAATTAGCTGGGCATAGTCCCAGCTACTCATGAGGCTGAGGCAGGAGAAATCACTTGAACCCAGGAGGTGGAGGCTGCAGTGAGCTGAGATCACGCCACTGCACTCCAGCCTAGTGACAAAGTAAGACTCTGTCTCAAAAAAAAAAGAAAAAGTACCTGGGTGGGCTGGGCATGGTAGGTCACGCCTATAATCCTAGCACTTTGGGAGTCCGAGGAGGACTGAATGCCTGAGCTCAGGAGTTCGAGACCAGCCTGGGCAATGTGGCGAAATGCCATCTCTACTAAAAATACAACAACAACAAAAATTAGCCAGGTGGGGTGTTGCACACCTGTAATCCCAGCTACTTGGGAGGCTAAGGCAGAAGAATTGCTTGAACCCAGGAAGCGCAGGTTGCAGTGGGCAGAGATCATCCACTACACCCCAGCATGGGTAACAAAGCGAGACACTGTCTCAAAAATAAATAAATAAATAATAAATTAGCTGGGTGTACTGGTGCACACCTGTGATCCCCGCTACTTGGGAGGCTGAAGCACAAGAACTGCTTGAACCCAGTAGGTAGGGGTTGCAGTGAGTAGAAATCACGCCACTGCACCCCAGCCTGGGCAACAGAGGGAGACAAGACTGTCTCAAAAAAAGAGAATCAAGATATTTTACAGAAGTCTGGTTCTGGCCTCTCTTGATGCACCAGCAGATCTGGCTGCCTTAAGCCAAGTAGTGGCTACCCTTGGTAAAAGGGGCAAACGGCTGCAATCCCCCACGACTCCAAATATCTTCCTGGCATGCTCTGTCTTTCTTTGAGCTGAGACAGAGGTCTGGGTACTACATACTTAGCACAAGTGGGAAGATACAGAGCCCGGGGCTATGTGCATGTGAATATCAACTGTTTGTGAATGGGCACATGTTAATCATGAGTGGAAGCACACAGTCTCACCATAGCATTGTCCACGAATGACCAGAAACAGTCAGTGATGCGTCCCCACCCGTGCTGCCTACCGTGTGGCGAGTAGACCCGAAGGTTGATGGGCACTGGGGAGATGCCTTTGTTGGTCCCCGTGACCCTGTCTGTCTCTGCTTCAATCTCCTGTCGGACTTCATCAAAGTCTGTAAACTTTTTGGATTTGCAGTGCAAAAACTCGGCATATTCTGGAAAGGGAAGAGAGACACTGAAAATGAGAAAGCGCTGCTGTGGGCAGGGCACACACAGACTTCGGGGAGAAATGCTTTGTTGAGTGAAAGTAATGACCCAGTCATCGTCACTCTAGGAATGGGGAAGTGACAGATTCTTTCTTATCAAGTGTTCTGCAGGGGGGTAGGGGGGTTTCCTATAGACTGAATAGACTGAGCCCTTTCTAGACCCTGAAGAGTACATTCCCCTGTGGCACCCTGCAAACTATTAACATATGTCATGACATATTATGAATTTAAAAAAAAATCAACAGGTAGACATGACCAATGACCAATGTTTCTTTGTTTGTTTTGTTTTGTTTTTTATAGGCAGGACCTCACTGTGTCACCCAGGCTGCTGTGCAGTGGTGTGATCATAGATCACTGCAGCCTTGAACTCCTGGGCTCAAGTAATCCCCCGCCTCAGCCTCCTAAAGCACTGGGATTACAGGCATGTGCCACCATGCCCAGCTGTTTGTTGATTTTTTTTTTTTTTTTGAGACGGAGTCTCACTCTGTTGCCCAGGCCGGAGGGCACTGGCACAATCTTGGCTCACTATGACCTACATCCTGGGTTCAAGCAATTTTCCCATCTCAGCCTCCCACGTAGCTGGGATTATAGGCACCTGCCATCAAGCCTGGCTAATTTTTGTGTTTTTGTAGAGGCAGGGTTTCACCAGGTTGGCCAAGCTGGTCTTAAACTCCTGAGCTCAGGTGATCCACCCGCCTCAGCTTCCCAAAGTGCTGGGATTACAGGCATGAGCCACCACATCTGGCCTATTTGTTGACTGACTGATGAACAGAAGAGAAAGTATCGGGATGCATCACCCAGAGAGAAGGTGAGTCCATTTGATTAAGGTGATGCCGCAGAACCTCCCTTGCTGTGAGTCCTAATCAAGGGAGTCTGATGCCCACGTCCTTATGGGATCGTGGGGCCACCAGCACATTCCAGCTCCACAAAATCCCCAGGGATATTTCCCACAGCATTCACTTCTCCTTCTTCCCCAAGGAGCCTGCAAAGTATAGGGAAGGGTTGTATTGCGTTTTTCCTTCTCCCCCTGGCTATTCAAGGGGGTTCCCTACCTAGGCACAAATCCCTCAGGAGAAATGCTTTCTGGGCATGACCCTGAGTATATGTAAGACCTGGGGGTGTCTGAAGCCACAGCAAGACTGAGATGAAGGGAAACAAGCTAAGTAACTGTCAAGCAGTGTGGGTCCCTCCAGGAAACCAGAGAAATCCAGTCCTGAATCACAGATTCAGGACAAAGCAATTATAAAGCACGTTCATCATAGAAGGTGGCTGCCAAGCACACAGGTATCCGCTGTACAAAGCCTTGACGTTTCTAGACATTTGAATTTTCACAGTAAAATGTTGGGGAGGACAGATCCCCAAAGCTCAGAGATCACAGCTACTGTAGTGATGCTAAAAATAAGGGAGAAATGCCTGGGCATGGTGGCTCACGCCTGTTATCCAGCACTTTGGGAGGCCGAGGGTGGATCACTTGAGCCCAGGAGTTCAAGACCAGCCTGGGTGACACAGCGATACCCCACCTCTAAAATTTAAAACATTAGCTAGGCATGTTGACACGCACCTGTAGTTCCAGTTACTTGGGAGGCTGATACGGTTTGGCTCTGTGTCCCCACCCAAATCTTATCTTGTAGCTCCCATGATTCCCACATGTTGTGGGAAGGACCCAATGGGAGATAACTGAATCATGGGGGCAGGTCTTTCCCTGTGCTGTTCTTGTGATATCGAGTAAGTCACAAGAGACATGATGGTTTTAAAAATGTGTTTCTGGCTGGGCATTATGGCTCACACCTGTAATCCCAGCACTTTGGGAGGCTGAGGCAGGCAGATCACTTGAGGTCAGGAGTTCAAGATCAGCCTGACCAACATGGTGAAACCTCATCTCTACTAAAAACACAAAAATTAGCCAGGTGTGGTGGTGCACACCTATAATCCCAGCTACTCAAGAGTTTGAGGCAGGAGAATGGCTTGAACCCAGGAGGCGGAGGCTGCAATGAGCTGAGATTTGCCACTGCATTCCAGCCTGGGCAATAAGAGTGAGACTTCATCTCAAAAAAAAGAAAAGCATGGGAGTTTCCCTGTAGAAGCTCTCTCACTCTCTTTGCCTGCTGCCATCCATGTAAGACGTGTCTTGCTTCTCCTTGCCTTCCGCCATGATTGTGAGGCTTCCCCAGCCCAGCTGCGTAGAACAATTAAGTCCATTAAATGTCTTTCTTTTGTAAATTGCCCAGTCTCAAGTACGTCTTCATCAGTAGCGTGAAAATGGACTAACAACAGAGGTTGAAGTGGGAGGATCACTTGAGCCCAGGAGTTGGAAGTTGCAGTGAGCTATGATCTATGATCACACCACTGCACTCCAAGCTGGGTGACAGAGCAAGACACCATCTCAAAAAGAAAAAGAAAAAAAGAAACGGGTAATAAGTCATACTGGCAAGTAAGTCAGAGACCTGACCCACCACAGAGATGCATTAAAAATGTGCACTGCCTCCAGCCTGGGTAACAAGAGCGAAACTCCGTCTCAAAAAAAAAAAAAAAAAAAAAAAAAATGTGCACTGCCTTGTCGTTTCTAAGAGTAAAAAACCGAAAATAGCCTCAATGTCCACCAGGAGGAGACCTGGTGACGTGAATAACACAGCCATGCCACAAACTGCCTCAAGCAAAGGCAAAGAGAGAGATGAACCCCTGGCCAAGTGTAGAATCAAGGCAGAAAGAAGAGTGTGAGGAGGTTCACCATCCCATCATAGCGACCAAAGAAGCTATGGCACCCTGGCCAGGCCCTGCGTGTGATCTGGTTGCACCTCACAAGTCCCTTGACAGATAGGCATCTCTAAGATCCCCATTTCAAAGATGAGGAAACTGAGGCCCAGAGGGGTTAAAGGCCTTAGCCCAAGTTCTGCGTTGGAGCTGGGACTGGGAACTCATAAATTCTTGCTCCAGGTAGTGGCTCCCAAGCCAGATGGCCTTTGTGAGGCCACCGGAAGGATCGTCGCCTCTCTGAACTTCTCTGCAGGGTCAGGGACAGACTCAGTGGGCTCTGATGACCGAGGACCGTGGCCAGAACAGGCACTGGCCACCCAGATCAGGGGCAATTAGGACATCTGATGGAGGATTCAGGATCCCTACTCCCCCACCCTGAGCCCTGCTATCAGCTGACCCAGTTCCCAAGGACAGTCACATTCCAGCCTTCTGAAGGGACAAGAGGAAACACTGGGCTGCTCTTCCTGTAGCAGCCACTAAAAATGGAACAGCTCCCAACCCCCACAGCAAATATCAGTTCTCTTCCAGCTCCAGGACCCCAGCTCAGCCCTGAAAGAGACCATCTCCCCTCAAAGAGTACAGGGGGACAAGGCACGGAAGACGGGCTGAGGGGAAGGACACAGGCCCTCTCTCCAATAGGCCTCTGCCCCGCCAAGTGTGGTGTCTGCAAGGCCCAGCCCCACCTCCTCCTACTCCCAGGCTTGCCTGGCTGCCGCCTCTCCCAGGCAGGCTTCCCAGAGTGGGGCATCTTGGTCCCCTTCCCCATCAGAGCCAGCTTACTTTGGACTGTAATGACGGGGCCAGGACCTGTGGCTGCAGCACCCCAGAGCCCAGCTGTGTGCAGTAATGAGCTCAGTCCGCCCAGGCCTCAGTCTGCTGATCTATAAAAAGGGCATTATAACACGCTTTGTAAGGACTCAAGAGTCAACACCTGCACAAGAAGAGCAGAGCCAGCACAGCTACCATCTGAGCAGCTGCTGGGCAGAAGGCCCCAAGGAGTGATGTGGCAAAGAGAGCACCGGGGCAGTGGGCCGTCGTTCCCCGGCATGCACAAGTGGGAGCCCAGAGAGGGCAAGCGGCTCTCTCAAGTCACATAGCATCCCCACCTCCTGCAGCTCTCTCTCCCCACAGCAACTACTTAACCCAGCCCCCTTCTCCCCTGCTTTTGTTTCCCTATAACACTTACTACCATCTGACAAAGTCTAATATAGAGGTTTGCCTTGAATGTCCATGCCACCAGGGCAGGGATGCCCATCTGCCTTGGTCGCTGCTGTGTCTCAGGGGCACATTCATGCATGTTAGGTGGGAAAATGGAGGCTCTGCCTGCCCAGCTGCCATAGGCTTTGGGGGCATTTACAACTCCCCACTCCCAACAAGCTGAATCTAGGTGTCTGAGCTGCAAAGATTCCACTGGAATCTCAGGCCATCCCCCAAGGCAGGGACCAGGAAATGGCCCGGGAAAGACCACCTACTTGACCCAAGTCTGCATGGTCAGGGGCAGCCACTAGGAGGGGCTGGAACCCGGTGGCCGGACCCACACACTGGGCTTAGGAGCACAGCACCTTCCCCAGTTGTCACATGCAGGCTGGGAACTGACAGGGGATCAGAGAAGGCAGGGGCCTGTTCTTTGTGATCTCCCCTCCTAGATCCTTCTGCTGTCAGCCAACCCCTCCATGTGGGTGAAGGAAGTGGAGAGCAGGCGCCAGAAAACCGTGGTTTCTTCCCTAGTGGGTCAATGAGCAACAGAACCACACCTGAGAAAAAGGCCCAGCCACTGACCAGGTCTGCCCAGCTGCTTGCCTTTCTTCACAGGGTTCCTTGGCATGCTGGATGCCAGGTCAATAGAGGTTTGTTTTTTTTTTTTTCTTTTTGAGACTGAGTCACTCTGTCCCCTAGGCTGGAGGGCAGTGGCACAATCTCGGCTAACTGCAACCTCTGCCTCCCAGGTTCAAGCTATTCTCATACCTCAGCCTCCCCAGTAGCTGGAATTACATGCACATGCCACCATGCTCAGCTAATTTTTGTATTTTTAGTAGAGACAAGGTTTCACCACGTTGGCCAAGTAGGTCTCGAACTCCTGACCTCAGGTGATCCACCGACCTCGGCCTCCCAAAGTGCTGGGATTACAGGCGTGAGCCACCATGCCCTGCCCAACAGAGGTTTAAAAGCTTCCACCAGGCCAGGCACAGTGGCTCACACCTGAAACTCCAGCACTTTCAGAGGCTGAGCTGGGAGAATCATTGGAGGCCAGCCTAGGCAACATCACAAGATCCTATCTACAAAAAAATTTAAAAGTTAGGGTGGGCACAGTGGCTCATGCCTGTAATACCAGCAACTGGAAGGTCAAGGCAGGTGGATCACCTGAGGTTGGGAATTCAAGACCAGCCTGACCAAGATGGAGAAACCCCATCTCTACTAAAAATACAAAAAATTAGCCGAGCATGGTGGTACATGCCTGTAGTCCCAGCTACACGGGTGGCTGAGGCAGGAGAATCACTTGATCCGGAAGGTTGAGGCTGCAGTGAGCTGTGATCATGCCACTGCATACCAGCCTGAGTGACAGGGGGAGATCCTGTCTCAAAACAATGACAAAAAAAGAAAGAGAGCAGAGGGCCTAGCCTGGGGCCCTGGAGCGCTGCATGTGCTCAAGTGCTAGAGATGAAATAATTTTTTTTTTTAAACAATCCACTGACCCAAAAAATCAGTCAGAGGCCTTAACACTGAGCTCCGTGTCAACATGTCTCCAGCAGCCGAGGCCAAGCCACCAAGCCACTGAGCCACCCCTGGCTCTGCCTGTCCTGGTCCCTGCCATCAAGCTGTACCACACAGCCACCCTCCGCAGACACGGCATTTCCAGATACCAAAGCCTGTTCCTCCAGTTCCTGGGCAAACAGCAAAGCGTTCTGATAGGTCCACACATACCCCCACCTTCGCCAGGCGCCCTGAGCCAGGAGGGCTCCCTGGGAGGAGGGTCAGCCCGGGCCCCCTCTGAGAGACTTGCAGCTGGTATGTGATCAGGCCCTGGGGACTCCGAGGGACCCAGCCTGGTGCACAGCAGGAATAAAGGAATAAACCAGGTGGTCGTCCAGCAATCACACTGCCAAGGCCAGAGAGTTAGCTGTCCTCACCCACTGCAGGGCCTCCTAACTGTGGGCCGAGTGGCTGCACTTGGGGGTTTTTCCAGAGAGAGGTTCTGCCTCCCTCTGAGCCTGTGTCCTGCTACTGAATCTGGAGCTCTGAGAGAGCAGGGACTTGGTGTGAATCACGGTTCCCTCTAGCATCTCAGATACAGTAGCTGCTTAATTAAAATCCATTAAACAAAGTATATGTGCTCTAACCCAGGAGGACATCACCCCCCAGGAACCCTCACTGGGGCCCCAGTCAATCCCCCACCTCAGACTTGAGAGGTGTCCCCAGAAGGGAGCTACAGGTGCAAGCTGCCACCTTCTCAGGGTCAGGGGGCCTAGAACAAGAAGCAGCAGCCCCTTGCCAGAGGCCACAGTCACCTATCTCTATAAAAAAATTTAAAAGTTAGGCTGGGTGTGGTGGCTCATGCCTGTAATCCCAGCAATTTGGGAGGCCGAGGTGGGCAGATCACCTGAGGTTGGGATTTCAAGACCAGCCTGACCAACATGGAGAAACACCATCTCTATGGTGGCGTATGTCTGTAATCCCAGCTACTCAGGAGGCTGAAGCAGGAGAATCGCTTGAACCCTCAAGGTGAAGGTAGTGGTGAGCCGAGATCGTGCCACTGCACTCTAGCCTGGGCAACAGAGCGAGGCTCCTAGTGATCCTGGAGGTCTTTGGAGCCTCTGGTTACAAAGGAGCTTGTGGAAGCCCAGAGTGACTGAAGGCTGTTGGTCAGAAGATGGGCCTCCCAATCTTCAAAGCACACCAGTCATGTGCCTGCTCGCATTGGTAAAGAATTTTGAAATGCCCAGGTCCTGCTGGGAAGACCTGCCTTCAGCCAGACAGGCAAGACAGCAGGGTTTGGGGAGGTGATGAGAGGGAGAGAGGGAGGAGAGTTTTCAGGCTACCTCAGGGCTTCACAGCCTAGCCATGACCAGCTCCGGGTTCTTACCGTTCTCTAAGCACCTGTTTCCCCAAAATACAATGACACAGAACCCAGTGCCGAGGGTCCCATAAGACTGTGATCAAGCAGGGCACGGTGGCTCATGCCTGTAATCCCAGCACTTCAGGAGGCTGAGGCGGGTGGATCACCTGAGGTTGGGAGTTGGAGACCAGCCTGACCAACATGGAGGAAACCCATCTCTACTAAAAATACAAAATTAGCTGGGTGTTGTGGTGAGCTCCTGTAATCCCAGCTACTTGGGAGGCTGAGGTAGGAGAATTGCTTGAACCTGGGAGGTGGGGGTTGCAGTGAGCCGAGACTGTGCCACTGCACTCCAGCCTGAGCAACAAGAGTGAAACTCTGTCTCAAAAAAAAGGCTGTGATCAAATCCCACTGGGAGCACACAGGCGGCTCAGCTGCTAGTCTCAGGGAATCTTAAGGGGCCGGGCTAGGGTCCCAGTGCTTTGCACACTGGGGCTGGCCCTGGATCTTCTCATCATCCCCCTAGCAAAGAACACAATGACCAGGCTGTCCCTGAAGGCAGGGAGAGATCTGCCTTTCTCAAACCTGGTGTAGGCAGGCATGACTGGGAGGAACAACTTGGGGCTCAGCCACCGTCAGGAGACCCGGGCTACCACGCCAGCAGGCAGGATCCACTCATGCAAGACTTTTCTGAGGCTTCAGTGGGCACAGCACACAGCACTTCCCATGCCCATTTAGCCCTTGAGCTCTCTGATCCGGGACAACAGGCAAGCATCTCCCGGTCCAGGACACATTGCCACAGGAAAGGTGACAGCCTGGGCTGGCATCCCAGCCAGCCTGCAGCCTGACGCATGCCAGCTTGGTTTGCTCTTCAGACACAAGGCTGCAGATGGAATGGCAGAGTGATGGGCAGGGCTCACTAGGGGAAGGAACTTGGTAAAGTAACCCTGTCACTTCCCGCCCACTAGGCAAGAAGGGGTACAGGTGGGCAGGACACAGTGGATCACACTGGTCATCACAGCACTTTGGGAGGCTGAGGTGGGGGGATGAGGTCAGGAGTTCGAGATCAGCCTGACCAAAAACGGAGAAACCCCGCCTCTACTAAAAATACAAAATTAGCCAGGCGTGGTGGCGCATGCCTGTAATCCCAGCTACTCGGGAGACTGAGGCAGGAGAATTGCTTGAATCTGGGACATGGAGGTTGTGGTGACCTGAAATCAGGCCATTGCACTCCAGCCTGAGCAACAAGAGCAAAACTGTGTCTCAAAAAATAAAAAAATAGAAAAGGAGCACTGCACCAACTTTTTAAGCTCCCTCACTTGGCCCGTGCCTGCAGAGCACCTGCTCAGCACCAGGTCCTGTGCTCGACAGAGCCGACTGCTGTGCCTGCCCTCCTGGTGCTGGTGCAGAGAAAGATCTGAAGACAGGAGTTTGAGACCAGCCTGACCAACACAGTGAAACCCTCTCTCTACTGAAAATACAAAATTAGCCAGGTGTGATGGCGCATGTCTGTAATCCCAGCTACTCAGGAGGCTGAGGCAGTAGAATCGCTTGAACCCAGGAAGGCGGAGGTTGCAGTGAGCCGAGATCACGCCACTACACTCCAGAGTGGACAACGAAAGTGAAATTTCGTCTCAAAAAGAAAAAAGGAAAAGAAAAAACAACAGCATAACTTGTGCTCCTGGGTACAAAGGTGGCAAGTGACTGAGTAGGGGTGAGCAGCAGAGACAGCGGCACCTGGCGGAACGTGCATTCTGGGTAGACAGCACAGTGAGCACAGAGGCCCGGCAGTGGGAACCAGCAAGCTGGGCCTGAGAATCAGGAGGGAGATGGATCTTAGCAGAAGATGGGGACCAGAAGGAGGTGAGGTTCCCAGAGACTGGCAAGGGCCACAAGGCCTAGAGCCAGGTCCTGACATCTCTCCCCTGGTTCCCGTGAGCAGACCAAAGTCCAGTTCAAGGCCAAGAGCAGTGGGGAAGGGTGGCTCACAGGGCCTTGCCATGCACATTCCACACAGGAACAGTCCCAGGCACCCAGAGTTTATGGGGTGCTTCCCAATGAGGGCAGGGTTCACCCGTGGGCCACCAAACTTCCTGGTGGCTGTGGTCTTAGGTAATATTTAAACTTCTATGGCTAGAAGTCATGATTCACTGGGAATGGTCAGAATGAGGGCAACCTGGGCCACACCGGGCATCACCGAAACCAGAAGGGGATGAAAGCCAAGCTGCAGGGGCCTTGTCTGTGGACATCAGACCCCACAGGTGACAGCCACACCATAGCCAGTGGGGTGCCACGGCCACGATGGCAGCACCACCATCACCCTCATGTTACAGATGAAGCCACCAAGGCACAGAGAGGGAAGTCACTTTAACAAGTCCCGGGCCAGTAAAGGGTGGCAGCCTTGCTCTCAGTATGGTCATGGAGAGTCAGCTTCTAATCCCTAGGAACCATGTGGTCCAGGTAATCCCCAACAAGGCCCCACAGGCCCCAGCAATCACCTGGAAATGAAATGTGTTCATTTTCCTCTCCTGTTAGTAGGGCATCCTATATCCCACCCACCTCCTCCAGCCGGGTGCCTATGCTGCTTAATACTTGGCCTGGAGGACACTCTAGACTGCCCGTCATCTGCCAGCACCACCTCTTGCCTGGCACCATGCCAGCCTCCCCCAATTGCATTCTGCTCCCTCCCTGTCCCTCCTGAACATAGCAGCCAGTGGTCTCCTACCATCAGCTCCCGATGCCTGAATCCTCAAAACGCCTGCCAGTCCCAGTCCTTCCTGCCTCCTGGCCCCTCCCCAGCCTCAAGCCACCCCTCACTGCTTTGCTAATGCTGTTTCCCTACCTATAATGTTCTCTCTGGGCCCCCAACCCAAAAGTGAATCCAACAGACACTCACAGGCTGAGGCTCGGGGGCTGAGACCATGTCAGGTGCTCACACTGCCTCCCTGGCGATCATCTGAGGCCCAGCACAGAGTGGGCACCTACTTGGAGCAATACAAGACTGGAGCCTCGCCATGCACAGTGGCTTATCCCTGTCATCCCAGCATTTTAGGGGGCCAAGATGAGAGAATCGCTTGAGTTTGAGACCAGCCTGGTCAACATAGCAAGACCTCATCTCAATTTCAAAATCTGCTGGGCGCAGTGGCTCATGCCTCTAATCCCAGTCCTTTGGGAGGCCAAAGTGGGGGGATCACTTGAGGCCAGGAGTTTGAGACCAGCCTGGCCAACATGGTGAAACCCCCATCTCTACTAAAAATACAAAAATTAGCCAGGCTGGATGGTGTGCGCCTATAGTCCCAGCTATTTGGGAGGCTGAGGCAGAAGAATTGCTTGAACCTGGGAGACAGAGCTTGCAGGGAGCCGAGATCGTGCCACTGTACTCCAGCCTGGGTAACAGAGCAGGACCCTGCCTCAAAAAAACAAAACAAAAAAATAAAACAAAAAAAGAGACTGAAACTGCCATGATCAGGCGGGGATGGGGGTGCAAGCTAGGAGGCAGGAAAGGGCCCCACCCATGTGGGACACCCCTGGAACTCCCTTTTCCTGCATCCCTCAACCAGCCCAACAGGATGCAACTATGTCTCCATTGCTACCACAGCTGCCACACCCATTCCCCCAGCCCCCCCAGCACCTACTCCTGCCTCCTCCAGGGCACCGCCCCAGCACTGGCCCCAGCAAGTGGCCCTGTAGTCCCTTTTCTTCCGACAGCCACAGGGATCTGGTCAAGCCACACCTCGGCCTAAGGCTACATTCTCCAAGAATAGGCTCAAGGGTGGGCTTTAAAGACAATGCTCCCATGTCCCCTAAGGCAAGTGGTCAGGAAGCCTCAGCTTCCTCCTCTGTAAAGTGGGGACAGATGTCAGGAAGCCATCATCTGTTCATCCAGGTCAGGCACCAGTCAGGTCTGCCCTCCATGCTCCCGCATGGCCAAGGCTCTTTGCTTCTTCTCTCCCCTCCTCCCCAACATGTATTAAATAACGTGTTCTTCAAGGCTAACAACAAGGTGATGTTATTATCTTCACTGCCCAGACAGGAAACACAGCAGGGGTCCCTCCCTAGGAGCCGGGATTGGAACCTGGGCAGTCTCTGCTCCAAGCCTCCATCCAGCAGGTCAGGCTCTCCCAGTGGTGTGGCCAGGGACTAGCAGCATCACCAGGGACTCATTAAAAATGCAGTTTGTGGCAGGGCACAGTGACTCACGCCTGTAATCCCAGCACTTTGGGAGGCCGAGGTGAGCGGATCACTTGAGCTCAAGAGTTCGAGACCAGCCTAGCCAACATGGTGAAACCCCGTCTCAATTAAAAACAAAAAAAAATTAGCCAGGTGTGGTGGCTCATGCCTGTGGTCCCAGCTGCTCAAGAAGCTGAGGCATGAGACATGCTTGAACCTGGAAGGCAGAGGTTGCAGTGGGCCAAGATCACGCCACTGCATTCCAGCCTGGGTGACAGAGACCCCATCAAAAAAAAAAAAAAAAAAAAAAAATGCAGTTTGCACATCTGTCAGCACTTTGGTAGGCTGACGTGGGCAGATCACAAAGTCAAGAGATGGAGACCATCCTGGCCAGCATGGTAAAACACAGTCTATACTAAAAATACAAAAATTAGTCAGGCATGGTGGCACACACCTGTAGTTCCAGCTACTTGGGAGGCTAAGGCAGGAGAATCACTTGAACCCGGGAGGCAGAGGTTTCAGTGAGCCGAGATCGCACCACTGCACTCCAGACTGGTGACAGAGTGAGACTCCATCTCATAATAAATAAATACAATAAAAAATAAAAAGCAATGGTCAAGGGCTAGCACGATGGTTCATGCCTACAATCCTAGCACTGTGGGAAACTGAGGCAGGAGGACTGCTTCAGGCCAGCAGTTCAAGACCTACCTGGGTAACATAGTGAGATCCCGTCTCTACAAAAAAAAATCAGCTGGGTGTGATGTTGTGTGCACCTGTAGGATTAGCTACCAAAGAAGCAGAGGTGGGAAGATTGCTTGAGCCCAGGAGGTCTAGGCTGCAGTGAGCTGCGACTGCACCACTGCATGGCCTGCGGAACAGAGTGAGACCCTGTCTCTTAAAAAAAAAAAAAAAAAACACCAGGCGTGGTGGCTCACAGCTGTAATCCCAGCACTTTGGGAGGCTAAGGTGGGTGGATCACGAGGTCAAGAGATCAAGACCATCCTGGCCAACATGGTGAAACCCCGTCTCTACTAAATATACAAAAAATTAGCTGGGCGTGGTGGCGTGCACCTGTAGTCCCAGCTACTCAGGAGGCTGAGGCAGGAGAATTGCTTGAACCCGGGAGGCAGAGGTTGCAGTGAGCCGAGATCACGCCACTGCACTCCAGCCTGGCGCCTGGCGATGAAGCAAGACTCTGTCTCAAAAAAAAAAAAAAAAAAAAGGAGCCTGCTTTAATGAAAAGAGAAGAAGACAAAACAAAAGAGTATAGCATAGCATTGAGCAGAGCAACTGCAAAACCAGCCATGATATCTGGGGACAACTGGTGACATGCTGAGTAGGGACTAGGACGTGGATGACCTGCAGGAATGGCTCCTTCTCTGAGGCATGGTGCTGAGACTCTGTAGACAGGTGTCTTTACTGCATGGGGAGGTGTACTAGGGTGCGAAGATGTCACAATGTCTGCTACTGATTTTGAAAGGGTTCAGCAACATTGGATTACTATGTCATATTGAAAGCACACATGGGGCCAGGTGCAGTGGCTCATGTGTGTAATCCCAGCACTTTGGGAGGCTGAGGTGGGATGATCATTTTGAGGTCAGGAGTTCAATACCAGTCTGGCCAACAAGGTGAAGCCCTGTCTCCATTAAAAATACAAAAAATTAGGCTGGGTGCGGTGGCTCACGCCTATAATCCCAGCACCTTGGGAGGCCGATGCGGGTGGATCACGAGGTCAAGAAATCGAGACCATCCTGGTCAACATGGTGAAACCCTGTCTCTACTAAAAATACAAAAATTAGCTGGGCATGGTGGTGCTCGCCTGTAGTCCCAGCTACTTGGGAGGCTGAGGCAGCAGAATTGCTTGAACCCAGGAGGCGGAGGTTTCGGTGAGCTGAGATTGTGCCATTGCACTCCAGCCTGGGTAACAAGAGCGAAACTCCAT